TAAACCAACCATTTATTGAACATTTGTTATTTTGTTACTGAGGAAAATGAGAAAACCAAGATAGGTTTCTGATGCTCCCGATAAAAAAGAACTTCTGCGTTCAGAGGAGGATCACAGTCTCAAAAAGAAAGCGATGGATGGATGAGGACTGAGACGGAGAAGGACTAAGGGCAGACACGATGTCCTGTTACTGCTCTTGGACAGGTTGTATTTGTAAAATATTTACAGTACGCTATGTAGCTGTTACAGTTACCTAAATAATGGATTACTGTTTAGGAACTATGGACATTTCTGAATGTCATGAGCAAACACCGACAGTGTTTGTGTAATGACTCTCACTGCCAGAAGGGGAGAGTAAACCGCAGGTTTAACTTGATTCTGTGGACTCGTCAAAAAGAAAAACAGTAAGATGGAGGGATAACTGTGTTAGAGATGTTTGATGATGTGACGTGATATGATGTTTTCAGGATGCTTTCTATTGCTCCTCTGTAAAAGCTGACAAGAACTTGGCGTGGGAATTTGGAATTCTTAGGCCCTGATAAAATAGAAAGTGTTTTGCAGGTTTGAAAATGCGAGGTGCACAGCGCTGCTTTTTTGGGTTGAATTTGGAAAAGAGCAGTGCGCTGTGTTTTTTTATGTTGCTAGGGAACCACCAAATCAGCTGTCCTGTCAGTCTAATCAAAGATTATAGTGCCAGCACTCTTTAATCTTTGGTTTGCTGCTAAGTAAGAACTGTGATATTAGCATAAACTCACAGGTCTGTGTTTTTTGTTGCTAAAAACATCTGCTTTCAAATAAAATAGACAAACGGAGGGAGCTTGTTCTGGCATTGATGATGGTGAGAGGTGTGCAAACACGCAGTAGACAGGGAAATGGAGATCCGTGTGGGTACATGAGACCCTCAGAAAGAGGAGACACTGCTGGTGGTAGTTCTACTAGCTGGTCTTAATGATGGTTGGTTCAAGTCTTATTTTAGGATGAGTCGAGGAGTCTTTGGACAATCCAAGCAACTGGAAACTTCCATCAACACAACTGAGGGCCCGTCTCTACATTCATTTGATTGGACAATGGAATGGTGCTTTTCTGCTCAGAGTTGAATTTTTTTTCAACTTCGAGAGTGAGATGTTGAAAATAGTAATAACATTAACAGGCACAGGTTTTTAGCACACGACCAGGGATGTTATCTGGCCCAGCTGATTTACTCGTATTCACTCTCAGCAGGACTCTCCTCACATCTGCTGTGGATACTGACAGTGGCCGGTCCTCTGGAGGTGGAGTAGACTTTACAACTGATTCCTTGTTGAGGAGATCAAAGCGAATAAACATAAAAGGTGTTTAGTTCATCTGGTAATGTGGCCTCACACATGATGGGGGAGCTCCTGCTTTTGTAGCCTGTGATGTTTTTGATGGCCTGCCACATATCTTTGGTGTTGTTGGTGTTGAGGTCTCTCTCCAGTCTCTGCTGATGTCTCCGCTTTGCCTCCTTGATGCCAGCTTTCAGTCTCGCTTTGGCGGTGCTGTAAGCTTCTTTATCACCCAACCGAAAAGCAGCTGTTTTGGCTCTGGATAGAGAACCCACCTCTCCATTCATCCAGGCCTTCTGATTGGGGAACGATTTTATCGTCTAATAGTGTGTTCACACTGAAAGCAAATCCAGCATTTCGTGTGGCTTGATTACATATAAAGACAATGCAAATTTGCTCGCGTGTGGAAGATGCGTATGTTCACCGGCTTGTGTGAGTACAAATTTTTCACCTTGAGTAAGAAATTTGCTTGGCGCTATGTTGCGCCAAACATTGAGATTGTCTGATAAACTTGCCGTGACGAACATGCCTGAGACCACAGCCGAAGGTGAGCGGCTGTTAAAATCAGCATGGACTTGGCGCTGCAGGTGTTTTTTTATACAGTTTATGGTGCAGGCACATAAGGGGAAAAAAGGCATGCTCTTCTCTTTCTTTCGGTGTGTTGCTTGCGTGTTTCACTGCCAGCAAAACCATACAAATAGTAATTTTTTTGCCGTGATCTGGTTAAAAAAGTATCGATTGAAATACTGGTTTGACTGGGGACTTTTCGATTCTACTCGATACTGGGCTGTTTTTGGTCGATACCATAGAGGTATCCAGTAGCGATACCCATCCCTATTGGGCACTGACAGTATCGACTACTAAATTTTTGGTATTGTGACATCCCTACCAAAATGATCCATCCAGTACCACACCATCCTATCATATAAGCACTTCACCAAATCTTACAATAGTTTACTAGTGAAAACAGGCTGTCTTCCTCTTTTATCTACTGTGTGACCAAAAGGGAAGCCTTGAAAAGCGCTACAGTAATTAGTCTATTAAATAAATTAGTAAGTCAAGAAAAATAAATATTTGCAACAATTTGATCACTGATGATCACTGACTGATCATTTCAGTCATGTTTCAAGCAAAAATGCCAAACATTTGCTGGTTCAATTTTTGGTTCAGTGTGTGCTGGGAAAAAAAGCTATTTGAAGATGTCAGATGGAGCTGTGGGATATTTGAGATAGGCATTTTTATTTTTTTTACAGGTTTTTGACATATCACACACTCAAAGATTAAGGTACACAAATAAAAGCCTTAGTCCAGCGGTTCTTAACCTTTCTGGCAGTCCGACCCCTTTTTGAGGTTGAAAATATTTTGCGAGAGGCGCCTTTTTTAAATTGTTTTCTATTGGCAGTGAGCGTTTTGCGGGCTGTTTATGCGCCCTGGGCACTTCGCATTTTGGCAGCTGATTCATAAAAAAACGCTGCGCTTTGCTCGTTTCTAAATTCAACCAAAAAAAGGCATTGCTGTGCACCTCGCGTTTTCGAACCTGTAAAGCACTTTCTGTCTCTGTCTCACAGCGGCTGGCATTACTGCCACCTGCTGGATTAAACAGTGCAAAATATTTAGTCCGTATTTAGTCCACCCAAAGTGATTCCATTTACAATGATGGTCTGTCTAGTTATTTTTAAGTTATTGTTTTTCTATGTTTGTATAGTATTGTATTTTCTATAGTAGGGGGGTCCTGACCCCCAGGTTAAGAACCACTGCCCTAGTCTATAAGAATCTCATCTCCCTTCAGAAGTGCCTGGTTTTATAACATGATTTCTGTTTGGTGAATGTCACAGGTACAGTGACTTATGTCTTTCAACAATGAGATCTCTCTGATGCTTTGAAAGCTCTCTGCAGACCATGGATTTTGCTCGGAGATGCAACTAAGAAAATCCTACTAGAACAGCTGAACTTTATTTGTGATTAATCAGAGTCACTTTAAATGATGGCAGGTGTGTAATGACTTCTAGTTAACCTGAGTTTGAATGTGATTGGTTAATTCTGAACACAGCCACATCCCCAGTTATAAGAGGGTGTGCACACTTGTGCAACCAGGTTATTGTAAGTTTTTTATTTTTCATTTTACCCCCTCAAAGATTTCAATTTGTTTTTCAATTGAATTGTTCACATTATAGGTCACATTAAAGGTGGAAAAAGTTCTGACATGATTTATCTTTGTCTCATTATTTTACATCATAAGAACCTGCTATTTTAACAGAGGTGTGTAGACTTTTTCTATCCACTGTAAGTAGATCTTTCACTACAACCCTCTGTTTGGTCATGACTGAAACTCAGTTATTAGCACAGAACAACAGTGTTTGGTCCCCATTTGTCTGACCAGAGCCAGTGTAGCAGTCACTCAGGAAATAATCTGTATCAAATTGCTGCTCATTTTAATTTTCACAATGCACAGCGAAAGGCAGCACAAAAGCCAAAACTTGCTATTTTACATATTACGTAACCAGTGTCAAAGGTCAACCCCAGTTTGGATTGATAATGGGAGATAAATTCCAATTTGCTTACACGTACAGCACATAAGTAAAGATGCTCTGGTACTAGGCCTTTAGTATTGTCCTAAGACTAGTAGGCTATTCCTCATAGACTACATGAGTTCACCTGTGAAGCAAAGCACTGCAGAGCTTCATTCCTTTAAGAGGCTTAAAGGACAAGACCATCCTTACACCAACAGAAACCATAAAATCACAGTTTCTCTGCATATATGGGTCAGAATCATCCTTAGCTGGCACCAAACAAGGATATGCATATTTATGAGTGTGTTAAAAATAACTACAGGGAAATCACTGGCATCCAGAGGTGGAGTGGAATAAAAAAAAACACCAAAACCAAATTTCCATCCTTACTGTCCAGAAAACAATAAAACAAATAATAATTTTCTCACCTTCTTGACAACCATCATCATTTTTCTTTTCATTCTTTTTTTTATTATAAGCTACTGATTTACATAACCCCAAAACAAAGGGGAAAACAAAAGGAAAAGGCATCCATCGTGTGTTGCTCCAGTATTTAACGTTAAGAGGATTTTGAGGATGGGAATCCCCACACAAACAGGGAGGGGGAAGCCTCTCCTTAATGTATCCCAAATCAAGAGCAACTAGGACGAAGGTCTATGGCCTGACATCTCCAGCGCCGATCCAAAACGCCAAACACCATTCCCGAAAATGAATTACTTTAATATTGCCTTGATTACTGACAATTATGAAACATCTGCATGAAAGATGACTCAAGATTTTCTCAGACTCGTTGATTCGGCACACGTCCAAGAGCTCACAAAACTCAATTTAGCATTTTTTTACTTGATATAACGCCAACTTTTAGGAATGATGTTTGCAAAAGTAGAAAAATAGCCTACGTTAAGCTACACGAGAACGATGTTGGACCGTAAGGTGAACCACCGCTAACAACCGTTTCACTTGCTTGGGAGAATGTGTGCTTCATACTGAAGACAGAAACACAGACAAGGTTTTAAGTACCTGCCTGTTACTTCCCAGTTAACGTTAACCAGCGGGTGTTTAACACAGCTCAGGAACCGTTTCCCTCACACGGGAGATAACGACATATATATTATGCGGGCTGCGCTGGGCCGCTGGGTGATGATGGGCACCATCACGTTACACAGCAACAATGGAGACGACCTACCTGGGATAAAATAACCTGCCGGTGGATCATTCTCCAAAGGTAAGGACGAGAACTGGAACATGTACACGCCTGCTAGTTTCCACCGAGCTCCATGTCGACGGTAAAATGCAGGAGGGACACAAACAAACAGCGTAACGTTACCGAGTAAAGGGCCGATGACACACACGAGAGAGCCTTCAGTCACATCCTTTCTTCTTTCTCTGGACCAAAGTCAAGCTGGCCAAAATACAGCATGCATTTCCGGCCTCAGCCTAACATGGCCAGTTTAAAACCGTGACCTGTGAAGTTGATTTTTACATAAATACATTATTTTATTACTAGCAGCTGTCAAAGAAAAAGTTTGCTTCATTTGAAATGCTGTTAATCTATGAATGTAGGCGATTACAAGTTAAATTATGCTTTTCTTTTGAAGGTTCCATTTCCGGTAACATGTGTCGTATCTTACTTGACGAAGCTGGGTACCAGTGCCTCACAGCCAATCAGAAAACGCGCTATTCTCCTCGCGTGCGCTGCCTCTGCCACCGTACACATAGGGCCTTTCTCATTTCCCACATTTGTGCCTCGTTGATCTCAACTCCTGGTATCGCGTCTTAGTCCCTCCCACCCGAGATGCGAGCTGGAGGAGGCGAGGAGGCACACATTTGGGTTAATGAGAAAGGCCCATAAACCTTTTGAGACGGCCTATGACATCAACATGTAGTCCACACCACTCTCTCCTCCCGTGCACTGCAGCTGATGTGAGGAGGCAGGAAGTAGCCTACTGCTCTCTTCAGCGCGTAGCAGGAGGTAAATACTGCAGAATATTGTCCACCAGGTTTTTGGTGTTAAATACTTAAAGAAAATACTCTTTCATGTGACAGATATTACTTGAGAATCAGAATCAGCTTTATTGCCAGGTATATGATTGGCCTACACATATGAGGAAATTGACTCCGGATTGTACAATGCTCAGGATGTGCTCACTTAAACAATAACACAAAAAATCAAACACAGGTTACAGTATAGAGAACACATACACAAAACAGACAGATTGAGACAATAGTGCAAAGGATGCAGGAGTAAATTATTATTACCATTATTGTTATTATTATGTACATGTCGGAGGTGGATGTGATAAACAGGTGCACATACACATACAAACATACATGTACACAGTGTGAGTGCAAAGAATGCTGGAATAAATAAGTATTATGTGCGGTGTTATGTACATTAGGTGGATTTGGTATACAGTATACAATATAACAGTATGAACAGCTCTGAAATAGAGAATGATGAATAAATAATAAGCGGTAGTCAGTAAACAGGTGGCTGATTAGAGACAGAGTTACTGGGTTATTGCACAGCAATTGTTCCTGAAACAGTGAGTCAGAAATCAGCTGTTCATCAGAGTGATGGCTTGTGAGAAGAAACTGTTCCTGAGTCTATTGGTTTTGGCGTACAGTGCTCTGTAGCGCCTTCCAGAGGGGAGAAGCTGGAACAGGTTGTGTCCGGGATGAGATCAAGAGGGTCCAATTGCAGACCTCCACTCTCAGGTCACTTCCGCTGCAGACCTCCTCTGTCAGGCTGGTCAGGACAGGAAATACACGCAACAAATACAAAATAAAAGCGTACGATTTGACAGGAAACTTTATGAAAAAATTATGAAGTTTAATCATGTAGACACTTATAGGGGAAGGGATTTTGTCATTGATTTAGACTGAATTATTTAGTCAACATTGTAACAGGAAACTAGCAGGCTAATTCTTTAAACATAGCATATTTATTTGAGCCTATTCTAATTAGCACTAACATGCCATTGTAGCAACAAAGCCCACTGTATATTGCTTCAGTCATTCAACTAGTAACAGTATCTTTTTTTACAGGCACTATTTATTTATTCTGTCAAAATAGGACGTTAACTCCGTCAATACAGCCAGCCACATCCATTCACAGAAAAATATATCGTCATTGATTAAGAGTGAAACTCAGCCTCCCTTCCAGGCTTCTTAAAAACACATACACACACACACAGAAACACACACACCCACACACACACACACACACTTCTCATTCATAATTTCCCTTTGAAGAGTAATATATACTATGGCATATTACTGCTATCAGCTGAATTTAATAGGAAAACATTGTGGGAACTGGACTACAATTTGAGTTTCGCGGGGGTCTGTAGTATAACGAACGTTGCCGGCGAAGATTAATGAATAAATAAATAATACAAGCCTGGACAGACACAGAGACAGAAACGTCATTGATCACTATGTGGTCAACACTTTCTCTCACAAACAGCAGCACACTACTTGCCCCAGATGTCTGCGATACTGCAACAAAGTTTATGTTTCAAAAGCCTGAAATAAACCAACAAAGACTACTGCTCAAGGAGATTAATCATGGTGTAATGACATGTGGTGCGCAGCATAGTTCATTTGGAAAACATGTTTATTTTAGAATGTTTATCTTATTAATGTAAATAATAATTTCAATGAAAATACATATATGATTAAAAATAATGGTTGTAGGTAAATGAATTAGTGACCCCCACAGATGCATGATTTTACTGCTTCCATAAGAGTTCAGAACCTACTTATGGACTGTAACTAGAACCCTGCTGGACTAAATGGACTACAGCTTGTGGACTATCAAACTGTAAAATCTGTAAAAATGAACACACATGCAATACATGTAGCCCACTTATATATACTTTTACTTTTACTTTATTCACTGTATACACACAGATTACACAGTTAGAAAAGGAGTTGGCAGAAGTGACTGATTAGCATTATGCAAAACATTTTTTTAAAAGTCTGAATGCATGGGTCTTGGCATGTTCCATCAAAATATCCACTATCAATATTTGTACATCTAAACCATGCAAATTAGGATATGCCAACATTGGCTGTGGTGAGGAGTAGTTCCCCTTCGAGGGAACTCGAACTGCGTCGGTTATGACACTATGGGAACGCCTCTAGGCATAGCAGGTCTGAACGTGAATGAAATCACTCCAATCCTATTGGCTTGTTGCTAGAACGGTAAGGTGTGACGGAATAACCGGAGGAGTATAAAGCACACCTGTACACACTCATCATTAGCTTTTTTCTATTCAGCAGGCGCTCTGTATGTTGTTTGAAGAAAGCTCCAATCCTACAAGCAGTGTGTCTTACCTGAAGAAGAAGTCTACCAGCATGTCCGGCAACCAGATGTACAGAAGGTGTGTTTTTTTCTTGCCCTCTGTACATCACGGATGGAGATTCTCATGAGATGTGTGTCTCATGTTTGGGGATGGAGCACGCCCGGGCAGCTCTCGAGGGGGCTGCCTGCGCCCGTTGCGAAGCCCTTTCCGTGCGGGTACTGAGGTACAGCATGGCTCTCTCTTTTCCGAGGATGGCCGGATGTGTTTACCCTGTGGCATGGGCCCTGCGGCCGCTGAGGCGGCCCGGCGGCTTCACTCATGGGGTTCACAGCTTGATCTGTCGGAGGATTTCGGGATGGCTGAGGCTTTTTACCCGACCTTCATCCGCTGGCTCCGACGCTTCCTTTCCTCGTTCGGGAGCCCGTTCTCGGCTTACCCCGCTCGCGGTTTGGATCCGGAGACGCTGCAGCAATCCGACTCCGAGGAGGCGGACGTGCTCAGCGTAGTGGACGATGACTTCGGGGTGTCGGGGCGGCGTCATCTGGCGGCGCCCGACTATGACGTGCTGCTGGAGGTGGTGACTAGAGCCGTGGCTAAGCTCAACATCAACTGGCCACAGGAGGAGCAGACACCACAGGCTAGTGGTAAGCTTGATGAAAGGTTTCTTAAGCACCACGCGCCACCTCCACGCCGGTCTCTGCCATTCTTTCCTGATTTACATGATGAACTGAGTAATCATGGGGCAGACCCTTCTCTACACGGCTTTCCACACCCCTATCACTGAATTACAGTAATGTGATGGGGGTTAGGGACCATGGTTATTGGAAGATGCCTCGGGTGGAGGATGCGCTTGCGAGCTATCTCTCCCCTCGACTTGCGTCCTCCCTGGAGAAGCCGGCGTTACCCTCCAAGCCATGTCGCACCACATCTACGCTCGTGGGGAAGGCGTACATGGCAGCAGGTCAGGCAGGTGCGAGTTTGCACACAATGGCGGTGCTTCAAGTTCAGTGGGGGGGTCCCTCTGAGGAAGATCTGGCGGAGCTTCGCAGAACCATGGAGCGTTAGACGCAGGGCGAAGCGTTCTGCCAGTACCTCCCTCGCCGGTCTGGACCCAAGGCAGCTGAGGCTGCCAGGCGTAGGTCCCTTCCCTCTACGAGCTCCTACGGAGAGGAGAGGAAGCAGAGTGTCGCTTCTCGGGGGCCCCCCGAGGAGCTGGGCCAGCGAGACGGCGCTCTCACCCTCAGCCTTCTGAGAGACGCGATCTGAGGACCGTCATCCAGTCCCGACGGAGCTCAGGGAAGACCGGGGTAGGGGAGTCTTTCTCCCCTCCCGCACCCCCCCACCTCCCCCCCGGAGGCCGATCGAGGTCCCCTCCGCCGTGGCAACGGGTGATGTTATCCCACCGTTTACACGTTCAGGACGCACCTGCCACCATCGTGTCCACGCCGTACTGCCTGCCCCGAGGGTCTGCAGTCAGGCGGCGTTCAGAGTCGCTCACCGTGGATCTTCGGCGGCTCTCCCCTGCCGATCTGGGGCTTCAGGGGTCCACCAGAAGATCACATGAGACACCGACCACCAGCCCCGAGGGGCTGGTTCCGTTGGCAGACTTTGCAGGGGCTTGGCGGAGCCTGACAAACATTTCTCCGTGGGTCCTGCGCACTGCCATACATGGGTTTCGACTACAGTTCAAAACCCGCCTCCCAAAATTCAACGGGGTGGTTTGGACTGTGGTCCGCCCGGAGCAAGGTCCGGTGTTGGGAATAGCGTAATACCATCTGGACTGCTGCACATGAGACCCCTGCAGTGGTGGCTAAGGACCAAGGGTTTTTCCCCGAGGGGAAATCCTCTCCGTCTGATTTGGGTTACGCGCAAGTGTCTTCGTTCCCTATCAGTTTGGAAGGAAACTTGGTTCCTGTCCCAGGGGCCCGTGCTGGGAGGGTCTTGTCGCCGGCTGGTCATTTCGACAGACGCCTCCCTCACGGGCTGGGGCGCTGTCATGGACGGCCGCTTTGCAAGGGGATCCTGGCAGGTGCATCAATCCGAGTGGCATATCAACTGTCTTGAGATGTTGGCGGTGTTCCAGGCTCTAAGGAG